TTTTGGCCCCTTTTTGGCCCCTAATTCCTTAACTATTGGTACCATGACCCCCAAAATCAATCCCCACCTTCCTTTTGTGGTATTGAACCTTATGGTAAAATTTCATGGAGATCCATTCACTTAAACTAAAGTTAGAGTGCGAAAACCAATGTGTCTTCGGACGACGCCGGACGACGCCAGACGACGACGACGACGACGACGACGACGACGACGACGCCAACGTCATACCAATATACGACCAAAAAATTTTCAATTTTTGCGGTCGTATAAAAATCAATTCGTGATTGAGTTTAAAAATAGAAAAATCCATGACGATGTTCAGCTCGAAGCAATAATTTTACTTTTTAAATTGCATTGACTGGTTAATAATGTTAACATTGTTTAAGACAACACGAGTTATCTCCCGAAAATAACAATTCATTATCATAACAACATTTTCTGACCTGAACAAGTCAGAATTGTCAAACAACAGGTCATCTCAAAGACCACCCATCCGTATTTACAGGTCTTGCGCCTTCATGAAACAGCAAAAAAATCACTTGCAAAAAACTTCTTTATAGGCAAAAAGTATAAAAATGCCCATGAAAATACGGAGGTAATATGAATTACCTTTCTAAAAATGCCCACAATGACCTAGATTTTCACTAAAAATCGTAAATAATCAATATAATATTCAATGACTTCTCGTTCGGTCACTTCCAAAACAACGACTCCCAAACACGTGATCTCTCGCACAAAACCATGTGATCGTATGTGTCGTAGATCAGCAGCAAATTCAAAATAACTTCTGGTTTGACGGACTCGAGTGAAAACTACGCAAAACAAAAATTGTCGCGTACAGGTCAGAATTTCATAACACTTTCTGACTTAAAGAGGTCATTTTATTCTGACTTGTTTATGTCAGAGCTCTGACTGATTATGATAATGTAGTTGAAATGAAATGCAGAATAATATTATATCTAAGTTAAAAGTATAATAGAATTATATTATAATGAACTGAGAATCTTTTTTAACTTTTTTGCAAAATAGGATAATAATATGGGATAAAATTGTTGTATGATATTAGGCATGAATTGGTAATTGTGGTTTATGGGATTGTAATTCTAAGTGGTTGAGATGTTATTTTAATAAGATTTGTGAATTTGTGGTAAGAATTGTTCTGAAAAGTTATATCAAAAGGTGACATTCATGTTGTGTGTTTTAGAATAGATTATCATTAAATTGTGGTTTGAGTTATTTCCCTTTGAACAGAAATGTCAATATTAAGGAAATTGTTTTTAAGTGTATGTGGCAAATGTATAAATTATTATTGAAGTGGATGATATATTTGAATGGGAATGCTGATAATTTGATAATTTTGGTGATGCATCTTTTTACCTATTTAAAGTGCAGTAGACAGTTGAGGTGATGTTATGGAAGAGGTCATAAATAAGCAAATCAAACAAAGTTTAAACAAGAATGTGTCCATAGTACACAGATGCCCCACTCGCACTATCATTTTCTATGTTCAGTGGACCGTGAAATTTAGGTCAAATCTCTAATTTGGCATTAAAATTAGAAAGATCATATCATAGGGAACATGTGTACTAAGTTTCAAGTTGATTGGCCTTTCAACTTCATCGAAAAACTACCTTGACCAAAAACTTTAACCTGAAGTGGGATAGACGGACGAACGGACGAACAAACGGACGCACAGACCAAAAAACATTGTTTTTTCTCCCTTTTTGGTCCCTTAATCTTAAAGGGATATGGCCATAACCCCCAAATTCAATCCAACCTTCTCCTTGTGGTACTATTTCATACAAATCCATACACTTATACTCAAGTTATTGTCCTGAAACCAGAAAAATGTTTGCTTTTGGCCCCTTTTTGGCCCAAAATTCTTAAATGGTTAAGCCATAACCCCTAAAATCAATCCCAACCTTCCTTTTGTGGTATGGAACCTTGTGGTACAATGTCATAGAGATATTTACACTTATACTCAAGTTATTGTCTGGAAACCAAATGTCTTTGGACGACTACGACATCACCATACCATTATACAGCCGCAAATTTTTGCTGTTGTATAAAAATTTAACGTTGTCCAAAGAGCCTTGATAATGATGTCAAGGTCAGATGAAACCTGCCAGACAGACAAGTACAAATTTTCATATAGTATCAGAGAAACAGACCTAAGGATAAACACAATAAACTGTTGACACAGAGATATATCTTGCCTGTCGGCATAAAGTTCAGAGAAAAGATAATTTGATGGACTGCAACATTGCTAATCAATTCAAAGTCACTGGACCATTAACTAGTGGGCAGGGCTTCGTAATGGTTGACAAAAAGAGATGTACAGACAGCAAGGTAATTTTATAGAAAATATCGTTGTCTATTGTAAGTAGTTCCTATCAAACTAACTTAAGCAGAAAACTTTAACATTGAAAATTGCTTATTAATTGAAAGTTGGTGGACCATGACCTAGGGGACAGGACCTCAAAATAGTCGTTAAACTGATATAAATTAATAGTAATGCAACTCCATACAAAATTTTATCAATCTTTCACAAGTAGTTTCTATCACACTAACTTAAGCAGAAAACTTTACAATTGTTGACGTCATCGACAATGACAACATTGTTGCAATACCTATGTCTCGCCTTCCGCGACTTTCCTCGCAGGCAAGACAAAAATCAAATTCACGGACTGATATCTGTTCAATGAAATGGGGTCAAGGTCAGCGGAACAATGTCTGAATGTGTGATTTTTGAAGAAAGGACAAAAATGCGAGATTAATTATTGTGATTTTAGGAAAATAGGCATACAGTTACCTGGTATATGTATCCAATATCAGAATGTGAAAAACCTCACAATAATTTCTGAATTTAAAGTACATGTATACCATATATAGAGTCCTATTACTCATAATATAATAAGTTAGAAAATCCTGTGATAAAAAACCTAAGAAGTTATATAATTTTGCCACCTCAGGATTGGCATCAATATGTCACTCAAAAGCAGTCTTCAACAATCCGAACTTTTCTGAATGGGTTCCATTAATATATCTACCAGAACTAGAAATTAAAGAAACAACAGACATGGCTTCCTCCGCCTCATTTTTAGACTTATACCTCGAATGGTCTTGAAGTATAGATTTTGCGTACTGACGTTGTTTATCATCTTAATAACGTGTTATAGTATTCTTTTATTTATCTTTATTAATATTACTTTTACTGTTAAGTCTGTTTTTTGAGATATCCATTTGACGTGACTCTGTGCTTATGTATCCCATCATACTTTGAACGACAAAATTATTTTATTTATTAATATTACTTTACTGTTGAGTCTGTTTTTTGTGATTTACATTTGACGTGACTCTGTACTTACAGTTAAAAGGCTTGTATAGTCCGCGGTTTAATTCTCCAAAATTGACCCTGACAGCAGGGGTGCGGACTATAGAGTACAATAAGCAAGAAATAAGAGAGAAAATTTCAATTTCGTGATGTGGTTTGTTTACGTTCCGCCATGTTTGTTATTGGCACTGTAGAGGGCGCTCTTATCATTTTTCAAACCAATAATTTTACCCAATCCATATTAATAAGTTATTTTAATTCAATATCAAATTAATACTGATAAATTTGAAAATTAAATGCTTCATTACAAAATTCTCTTTTCTTTTCAATGCATTGCTAAATATAACCTGGTATCTGCTTGAATAAAATCGTACAAAAAAAGTAAAAAAAGACAACCGTAAACCAGCTTACGATGTGTAAACTACAAAACGTAATCGGTTATTTTTCATTCCATTTTGGTGTTTCCTATTGACAAATATGTTTTGTATTAGCTTAAGACCCTTCAAACATTAATGTGATAGATATATTAAACACTGTTTTACATAAGGAGGGAACTGTTTTACTTTCAAAGTTGTATTATAGTGATATCTATTATGTACGGATTTTGCCTCTCACTGGGTTTTTTCATCTTTTACTCATGCTTTTCAAACTTCCGGTTTAAACATACACAAGTTTCTAAATTGTTTTTTGTGTGATTTAGACTTAATTTAACCAGCGTGAAGTGTTTTAGAACCATTTAGCTTCTGTTTGGTGATGGAAAATAGGTTTTTCCAAGAAAATACCGCAAACAACCACACAGGATTTGAAATTACCGGAGTTTCATTAGACCTTTTCTAACAGTTACAAAAAGTTTTTTTACCTGAAATTTCGTGGGGAGAAGGGGGTGCGGACTATGTACCAGTACGAACTATACAAGCCCAATTACGGCATGTATATCGTCATACTTTGTACCACACAATTGTTTTATTTTATTTATTAATATTACTTTTACCGTTAAGTCTGTTTTTTGTTATATCCATTTTACGTGACTTTGTATTTATGTATCCTGTCATACTTTGAATGACAAAATTATTTTATGTCTACCTGTGCGAATTTCAAACGGGCGATTTTACGCCAATACTTAAAACCTTCCATCCTTTATGGGTGGATTTTACATAGATAAATAAAATCGTATAATATAAGCAAAATAAGGATGTTAAATTTGATGTATGCCTTTTTGTGCTTCTTCGTTACATTTGTTTTTATAGTGATTAAGATGATAACACAATGTTGACTGCTGTACCCCTATCTTTGACATTTTTACCTATTGTGTCTGTTTGTTTTGTTCACGCAGTCAATATAATGGAATTTGATGTGACTGTCATACAAGTGAGAGGTTTAGCTAGCTATAAAACCAGGTTCAATCCACCATTTTCTACATAAGAAAATGCCTGTACCAAGTCAGGAATATGACAGTTGTTATCCATTCGTTTGATGTGTTTGTGTTTTGATTTTGCCATTTGATTGGGGACTTTCCTTTTTTGAATTTTCCTTGGAGTTCAGTATTTTTGTGATTTTACTTTTTTTTCAATATATTACTTAATGTTACCTAAGTTTCAAATTTCTATAGCAGTTCATAAGTTTTCACCGATTGAAAACTTTTCAGTTCTTTGATGTTTGTACTTACATATTCCTTATATAAATTAATCTGTCCATCTAGATTTTCTACAATAACAGCATTCTCTTCATCCTACAAAAGTCAAAACACAAATTATATAATTAAATATACTGTGGATTATATTGGAATATAGCAAAACTTGACAACCTTACTTGTTATTGTGTATCTCCCAGATCATGGGTAATTAAAAACGTTATTGTAGTTATCTGCAATTCATTACAAGTAATTTCAAGTAATTTGTAATTGAGCCTATGTTTAATGTAACAAGCATTCTGAGAGTATTGCATGGCAATACATAGTCCCCTACCGGGTAAAAATTCATTTTTACTGGAACAAAATGCTAACTTGTTCTATAACTTGTCATGGTGTAAACAAAAAGTAAATATCATGTCAATATCTTCAAGCATGACTAAAAACAGTGTGGAAAACTGATTATATGAGTGAAAAAAACATTAGATATGTTTAATAGTTCTCTAAAATTAGATATGATGTAATAAAGTGTATATCTATTTTCAAATTATAATCAAATATAATTAATAGTTCCAAATATTTTTTCTTTCATTTGTCACAAACTAATATAGATTTGTAACTTATCTATAAAATGTCAACAACATTTATCTACACAATGTAATGTATTGAAACATATACATTAATAAAAATAGATTATTATCTAATTAAAGGATTTCTCTTCATAATTTCTTTATATATATATATAGCATTCAGAAAATTAGTTTATACTAAATAACAAATAAACCTGCTAAAAAATTCTTCAAATGATTTAACAATGAATGTCTTTTAAAAAATGAGTTATCTCCCTTTGTACAGAAATATGGTTTAACATAGTACTCTTACATTAGATATGGTCCAGAGTTATGGTCCATAACTCTGGACTAAATCATCAGACCAGAGCAAAATTCTAACTTGATCTATAACTTGTCATGATAAAACTATATACCAAATATCAAATCAATATCTTCAAGAATGAAGAAAAAAAGTGTGGAAAGCTGATTTGCCGGACTGACGGATGGACAGACGGACAGATAGACAGACGGACAGAGTGCAAACCTGAAGTCCCCTTTGACTTCGTCGGTAGGGGACTAATGAAAAGTTATTACTCACATTGGCTTTTTGCCATGTAAGTGATCATGGCTATAATGAACTACTTTTCAATTACATTGGAATATTTGCTTGAAAGCTTAAAACATTTTTATGTTTCAAAATACATTTCATTGCAAATTATTATTACATGTACAATGATGTATACTCATTTTCTTTTAGCTGATTAAATAATTTCTGCAATTAAAAAAATCAAAAGATGAAAAGTGTTACCAATGAATGAGTTTAAATTCATACGCCTGCTAACTTTGAACCAAACTTATCTGGTATTCATCATCATCAAAATCTCACCCATTCACATAAATTCATTTAATGGTACAACCATAGATGCAACAAGTACATCCAAATTTAACAGTCTCATTACCACATCTTGAGTTTGACGAATAATGGATCTTCCCAAAATGGATATACCGGTACATTATGCAGTGAGGGAGATCACTTGAACTTTTTACGATAGTGCATTTACAGATTTTGGACACTCAATTTTAATTTGTGACAACATATATATTTAACAACCAAACAACAAGATATGACTTCAATGCACTGTGTAAAATTTCACAAGTTGAGGTTTTTCTTGGTGTGTCATCAGACATTTATATACTGATAGCGGGTTATTTTCGCGGGGTGTTTATTTTCGCTTATTTTGGTGGATAAATGAAAATCACTAAACAAAATGAGCAAAAATTTATGCAGACATTCAGTACTTTCTAATAGCTAAAGTGTTTTGTAAACGATCTTTTTTTCCCGGTCCGCAGGTCAATAATGGTGTATGTTAGTTTTAACAACATAAATGCCAAAGGGCATTGTACATATATGCATTTTATAAAGTGACTGTAAGTTTCTGTATACCCTTATAAATTAGTGTGGAATAAAATAAAAGAGTTGTAAGTCACTCTTGATAATTGTATAACCTAATAAGAAGTACATCAAAGGTCTGGTCAATTGCGTAACTCATCAACCAAAAAATTTACAAAAAGTTTGTATACCTGTGACAAATATCTAAGATTCAAATAATTCCTTTAGATCATTCTGAATATTTCTACCCCTGTCAGATTTTCTCTGTTTATAGCAGTTTTCAAGATATTAGACAAAACTTGCATTTCACCCCGTTGTTTTATTTTTAGCCATGTTGGTTGGCAGGCAGGGTCATCAGACACATTTTAAACTAGATACCCCAAAGATGATTGGTTTAATTTGGCCAGGTAGTATCAGAGAAGATTTTAGTCAAAGTAAACGGATGATGAGGATGGACGACAGACATGAAGTGATAAGAAAAGCTCACTTGACCCTTGCAAAAGACAAGATGATGAACTATTTCGAAATGGTTTTTGGGATCCATCCCACCAGAACTTAGTAATGATGTCTTCAGTTTGTTCATTGTTGGAATAAAGGAGTACTTCTACTTTAACGGACCCCATAAAAGAACTGAAAACTATAGTAGATACTAGTATATAAGAATAAGCTGTCCCCAAAAAGTAAAAAAAACGAAAAAGAGGTCAAAAATCAAGAAAATAAGGTAAAATTTGAAGTCAACAGGTAAAGTTTTGTTTTAAAAAAATGTTAAGTTTTTTAAATTAGATTTTCAAAATCTTAAAGAAACACATCTTGGTAAGTGAACAAAATGTATGTTTTCCATTACTCAGGTAGGTATATCACGCGACAGAATTTCATTATCTGTGACCCCTAAGTAATAAATATTCATTAAACATATATGGTATCTCGGCATAATGTAAAATCAGCTGTGTTTACAAACATTGCAGTGTAAGAAAATGCTGATTTAGTTAAAAGATTTGTTTAGTATTTGTGAAATTAACGCGAAAATTATCCAGTGGTGTATTTCTTCAGGATTCAACTAGACTAGTTTAGAGAGGTGTGTATAAATGTAACCATGGACATTTTGGATAAAGGAACAACAGTTCATTCTCAAGTAACAATGTCACATTTCTCATAGAAATTGTAGTAATAAAAAGTGCAGATACATATTTCAGTCAAACAAATTATAATCAGTTTTGACGATCCATTAAATTGATTTCTTGCATTCATAAATCTTATTAAAAGAAAGCGTACACTGCATGCAGAGGAACAAAAACAGACATTGTTTTCAACAGAAATTAGCATTTAATGTTGTCCAGCTATCAAAAAACCCAAATTATTACAGAAAATTTCAAATTACTTTTATATTCTAGTGTCGATGATATTCTAGAATTGGCAATTCAAGTACAATAAATTATCATTTATTTTTCATTTTTACTACACCAGCTCTCCAGCCATAACGCCTTTGGTTGCTGTCAGATAAAATTTTATTTTTTTTCAATTTCTGATCAGTTTCCCAAGCCTCAACTGCAATGTTTAGTCTAACTTTGACTGTCAAAAATTTAAAATACAAGTTGAAAACAATCTTATTATATAAGTTGGATCATTGTCTTTTGATGCGGTGTAAAAAATTGCTGCTGTTAAGCCTGTTTATATTCTTGCATAGCAACATAATTTCGGGTTATCTGTCATGCGCATTAATAGTGCATTTCTCAACTTCTGGGGTCCGCCAAAAGCAGATTCTATCCGAAATAAGTATCAATATTTTTGATTTGGAGTTTTAGAAAATGAAACTAATATTTAACGCTATACAGAAAATCAAAATGGACAAAATTGGGGAAAGGACGACATCATTGGTAAAATTCTAGCTGCGAATCTTCTTTTCTTTGTGCCTACTGCTAGCAGCTATATTTTGGTGCCAAAGAAATAAAAAATTGTATTATGTGACATTGGCAAAGCCTGATAGGTCTCTAAAAAACACAGCAAAGGACCTCCTTTGTGCACAAAGAAACACAATGCACTACGAAGAAGTATCATAAGAGCACAAAGAACCAAACATATCCTTCTTTGTATGGTAAAATTAATATTTATGAAGAAGAATAAAATGATTCGCTGAGCGCAGCCTGATACGACCGCAGAGGTCGAACCCTGAACAGTAGGGACAAGTTTGGAAATAATATTCAAGCTTGATACTGTCTGAATTTGGATTGTGATCAAATTTTTGACATAATATAGGTTTCCGACACAAAATAAATGTGGTCAAAGATCTTAAAAATTTGAAATGGGACATTTAATTCACCTAGAATGGTCTGATATCCAAAATCTAACAACATGGTTAGATTCAGCATATAAAAAACACCAAAAAATTTATTTTAGTTGAAATCAAACAAAGTTTAATTTTGAACCCTTCAAACCTTAATATGTATGGACTAATTTGAAAACAGGGCCCAAAATAAAAAATTCGTAAGGGTTCCGCGGAACCCAGTGTCTCGCCTACTTTTGGTGTTAATCGCAGGCTCAACAAAAATGAGGAAAAAAATTAATAAAAATATTCCCCTCTATACTATGTTTTGATTGTAAGTAGATTCTGTCCAAGTTTGGTAAAAATCCAGGATAATTTATGAATCTAATAAATGTTTTAAAAACTTAAACCGCAGAATGTATGTAATGTTGACTGGAAGAAAAACTAAGTCCATTTATAAGTAAAATACAGAAAAAATGGAACAAAATTTTATCAAAATTTCCTTCTAGATACTAGCTTTTGATCATAAACAAGCTTCTGTCCAAGTGTGGTACAAATCCAGGATAGTTTAAGAAAGTTGTTAAAATTTTAAAAACTTTAACCACAGAGTGAATGTAATGTTAACTGGCAGAAAAACTAAGTCCATTTATAAGTAAAATACGGAAAAATGGAATTTTTTTTTTACAAAATTTACTTCTGGATACTATCTTATGATCATAAACAAGCTTCTTTCCAAGTTCGGTATAAATCCAGGATAGTTTAAGAAAGTTATTAAAATTTCAAAAACTTTAACCACAGAGTGAATGTAATGTTTCCTGGCAGAAAAACTTAAGTCCATTTATAAGTAAAATACGGAAAAATGGATTTTTTTTTTACAAAATTTACTTCTGGATACTATCTT